ATATTGTAAACTTCATAACTAGATCAAATCAAATCTCAAATCGGACTCCCTACAAATAACGATTATCAAATTGTACTCGTAGTCTAGTGAATAAGTCGTTCACTTTACTAACTTTTTCGGCCACCTAATCAAGAGATGCGCTGTTCCATACAATTTATAGCCAAGCAAGATCGGGTAAGTGACCAAGCGTTGCAGAACAACCCAATTCTGTCTGACCGGACTCTTGCACGGGCAGGCGCCCTCTTCGCGCATCACGGGAGTGGGCGCCCGCTTTTGACTGGATAGTGCTTGTACGGGAGAACTCACCCGAACGGGAGAGATACATGCCGCCCCAGGGTCTCTGCCAAAGTGCGCAGGTCCCAGGCCATGCGACTTCGTCCGCGTAGGGTCGTAGTAGTGATACTGTAATTGAAGGAAGATACTGATTAACAATCCGTAAAGGATTTGTATTTGCAGGTCTGCGCACATACAAAAAACACCCCGGCATTCCTCATGGGCCATTCTTTGGGAGGACTAATAAGCCGTGAGATGGTCGAAGAGATGAGACTCTGGGGCAAGGAGGTTGGACATTCCATTCACTATTAGCGTAATTTCACCTTCAGTTGTGGGCACTTAGCAGAGCGTATTTGAAAGAATTTTAGGTGCCATTTGTAGTGATGTTCGACACATGGTATATAGAACCAGAAACATTGAATATTGAGAGAGTAGAAGCTTTCGCTGACGTTCGTTGTTCTCTTTCCCAATCCGATTCACCAGTTAGTCTTAACCTTCTAGAAGATTTTCTCCTCTCTTCCCGATAAGGCCCAACGCATAGAATGTGCATCCCGCTTGGCAAGAATGCTGAAAACCCACAAACTTTGCTCTTCGGCGACTAAGATATACCTATTCAAAAGCACGGAAGTTGCCAACAAGGTGTTTCACAAAATTATCCGGTAAGTAAGGTGTATTCGCTGCCAACATGAATTCCAATTAAATTTCATTCAGATCTGATCTCACCCCGAAAATGTCTCGCTCCATCACCGGAAATGGATTGGATCGATACTCAGAGCTTTCCATTGACGTTTGGCTGGTAAACATTCCTCAGTCTCGCTTTCTCATAAATGTGGCTACAAGT